CTGCTCTGGCACTTTACTCCCAGCTGCAAACCTCTGGGTTTCATTGCCACTGTGGTGCTGGGAGAAGCAGTAAAAGCTGAACTCTGGGGGGACAATAAAGCCAGCAGAGAGGAGATAAGCGGGGATCAAACGCCACGCGGCAGCCACCCCACGCTGGACTCTCAAAGGTCCCTTTGTTCCCGCTGCCTCCTGGTTCAGCGCTGCATTGCCTTCAAGGGCTGCGGGCGAGATAGCGGGGCTCAGGGCTGCCCCGCCACCGCAGCCCCTGGCAGTTGGGCAGCCACCTGTGCAGCCCGGCAATAAAAAAGAGGATTAATTTCAGTCACAGGACTGATCCCAGTTGCACACTGAGGCCTGATAACATATCTGGCTGGTTCCTATCAGCCAGGCAATAAAGCCATTATTGGGGTGGGAGATGATGGAAGAGACACTTGCCTTCCTCCTCATCCCAGGCTTGCTGGGGTGACGTCCCCCACAGCCTCCAGCCCTGCTGTCCCCTCACCCCCTAATGCTGTCTGCTCCACAGCCGCCCCGCAGTCTGCCTTGATGGGGAAGTGCCGCCGGCCTCGCACAGCCTTCACCAGCCAGCAGCTCCTGGCGCGGGAGAACCCGTTAAGTACCTGTCCAGACCCAAGCGCTTTGAGGTGGCCACATCGCTGATGCTCACTGAGACACAGGTACCTGGGTCCTGGGGGGATGCAGCATAGCACCAGCTGGCTGCCAGGGAAGAAAGTCAAGGTCATGGGCAATGCTGATGCCCCTCACTTGTCTGCCACCAGCCCCACACCCCAGTGCCTGGATCAGCGCCCCTTTCCGGGACATCTTCTCCGGAGACCTGCCTGGTGGGCTCCAGGCTCTTCTCTTGTGAAGGGCGCCCCAGAAATACTGCTCTTCTTTTCACCCGGCACCCTCAGCTTGGGTTTCAGAGCCTTCTGATCCCTCGCCGCACTGTGGGATGGGGCTTTTTGTCCCTATGCATGTCCTTGGGCATCCTGCAGAGGCTGGGCAGGGGGAAGGGAGCATCCCCCCGGGTACCCCTTTCCCTGTGACAACCTCAGCCTCCCGGGGCAGACCTGCAGCACCACGGGATGCCCCACAACAAAGAGGTTTTGGAGGAGTCCTCCCTGCAGGGAAGGTGAGGGGGTGAGTGGGGACAGGATGGGGACAGGGGGACACACTCACCCCTGGGGGCTCTCCCTTGGCAGGTGAAGATCTGGTTCCAGAACCGCCGCATGAAGTGGAAGCGGAGCCGCAAAGCCAAGGAGCAGGGGGGTCAGGCGGAGGCCGAGAAGCAACGAGGGCTCAGCAAAGCCTGCGAGAAGCTTCTGCCCAGCGAGCCCCGGGGACAAGCTACTGAAAGCCCAGAGTTCATGGGGTGCAGCCCTGGCTCAGGCTTCCTGCACCACAGCACGGCCGAGATGGGCTACGGCCCGGACTCCTCCTGCTCAGGGGGCGAGGAGGAAGAGGACGAGATGGGTGCCACAGAAAGGAAGATCAGCTCTGTGTTGTGAAAGGCGGATGGAGCCGGCTAGGGAGAGGGGCCAGGCTGCAGTGTTGGGGGTGTCTTTGCTGGCAGACAAAGACTGTGCCTGGGCGGAGCAGGGGGGCTGCAGGGCACGTGCCCCCCTTTAACTTATGTGTGTTTGGATCCTATTTAACTTGTAACTATTTCTATGTGTGTATCTGTGGGGTCCCCACATCCCTCCCCTATAAAGCTGTTATCCGGATGCCTGTGCTCTTCCTTAGGGGACTGGAGGCTCTGCCCTCCTCCTGCCACTGCACTGCCCTGCCAGGGCCCCTGGGGAACTGGGTGGGGACAGCAGATATGCACAGCTGGCAGCCTGCCAGCACAACTGGAGGGGAGAGACCCTGGACTCTGCTTCAACTGCACACTGCCCCTTCCCTGCAGATAGGACAGTGCCTGGAGCAGCACATCCCTGGGTGGAGCCAGCTGCCCTTCCCCTTGCGGGCATGAAGTGCTGGGAAGGAGGGTGCCCAGGATGTGTGCCAGTCTGCCCTGCCTTCTCCTGCACCTGCAGCATCCCTGTGGGGTCTGTGCTTTGCAGGGCAAAAGTAATCTGTCCTGCAAAGCACAGATGGTTAATTCCCTAATGCAGCGATGCTGTTTTCCATGCTGCAATTAGCCTGCTTGCATCGATGTGGCATTGCCCTGAAGAAAGGTGGGGATGGAGCCCTCCTGGGTTTAGGGAGGTGCTCAGGCTCTGGTCAGCTCCCCTTTTCCCATGATGATGTTTGAACCCTTCTCAGTCCCTTTCTGGGCTCATTTCATGATCCTCTTGGGAGCCCTTCTTGCTCTAGCTGGGCTCAAATCAACCCCTGGTAGCAGGATGACAATGGACACCCTCTGCCACCTCCCCAGAAGCGCTAGGATAAAACCTTGACCTTTCCTAAGCGAGCAGGCTGCTCTTGTCCTCAGGATGCTGGAGGCTCCTGGCAGACCATATAGACTTCCCATGCCTCCTGCACACTTTCTGGGCCTCCCCCTGGGGACACTGCGATGGCTGTGCAGGCAGAGGGACCAGCCCTGCAATGCCCAGCCTCCCCACGACCCTTAGCCCCGGGGACAGCCCTGCTTCACCGCCCCAGTACATGCAGGGCTGCAGGAGCAGGGCAGACTGGGCTCGGATGCCCCATCCCCAGGCAGCCCGTGGTGTCTCCCTTCTGCCCCACATCTTGCTGTCCCCTCGTCTCTTCTCCCTGTCCCTGCCTGGGGGTGGCAGGGAGGGCTGCCTGCCCCCAGACCCTGCCAGGAGCCCTAGGTCACCTCCAGCAGCCGGTCAACAAGGGATGGGGCAGATAAGCGCTGGTGTGGGGTGGTAACACACCTGGCAGTGGTGGGGGCTGCTGTGGGGTGGGGTGCAGCAGCCTGGGCAGGGGGATGGATGCGATGCTTTTGGGACAGAGGGAAGGACAGGAGAAGCAGGTGATGGGAGAGAGGAGTATGGGAATGGACGGATGGATGGATGGATGGATGGATGGATGGATGAGCGATGGTCCTGTGTGGGCTGACAGTGACCCACAGTGGCTGCTGGTAGCTCAGCAGCTTCATCCTGGGTATGTGTCATCCTCTGTGCTCAGGTCCCCTGTCCCCAGGCAACCCAGCCCAGGGCATGGCAGGGCCCTGCTGCCCACGCAGGAGGCATCCGGAGCCCTGGCACTGCCTACAGGTGAGCTCTGGTCCCAGGTAGGGTGCAAGGGCAGCCCTTGCTCCAAGGGGAGATCTGTGAGCCAGGGTGGGGGTCAGGTGCCAAGAGCCTGTGATGGTCGGCATAACATGGAGCGGGAGAGGAATAAATGTGAGGAAGGGGGGAAAAAAGACAGAGAAGGAAAGGAGGCAGGGAGGGGGAAGTAAAAAAGGATGGTACCCAATTCCCCACCTGTCCCCCTGCGGGGACAGTGAGGCAGGAGAGACCTATCACCCCTGCGGAGCTGTGCCACTCCCCAGCAGGCACGTGGGACTGGGCACAGAGGTGATGGTAGATGCCAGGAGATGCCAGGCCGTGGCTGCAGAGCCTCAGGACCAAAGGCATCTACCACCCATCTGGCAGCAGGGGAGCATGGAGAGAACCACAGGCTGGAGCTGGGCGCACCAGGGTGGGGGTGCAGTGGAGGGGACAACGATGGCAGGGGCAGAGAGGAAAAGGAGAGAAGGAAAGCAGTAAAAAAAGTGTGCCAGGAAGGAGGAGGGGAGTGAAGGGATGTTACAGACTTAAAACGTTCACCTTGATGGGCTGTGACAGGTTTAATTTCCAGAGTACAACCATTAAAGTGATGGATGGGAGGCGTTCATCTCTCGCCTGGCGCACATGGGCCGGCCGTGGCTGCAGGAGGGCTTGTTTTGTTCCTGTTATTTATGAGGTTGTTTCTACAGGAGCCAGGCACTCATCCAGTGCTGGGGGGACAGAGGAGGGGACACGATTGATGCTGGAGAAGTAGGGGTGCTGATTTATGGCTGCTTAGCCAGATGACTTGTGTTGTAAACATTGACAAATGCCATTAAAGCTGCGTCTCCTTCCTGCCTCTGCCCTGGCACCCTCCCCACGCTGCGGGATGTGGCCAGCCCTGCTCACTGCTACCTGTGATCCCTGGAGGGGCTGTCTGACCCGGACACAAGGGTCTCCCCCTCCATAAAGGACACCTAGGGTGCTGGGAAGATGCAGGAGTGACCCACAGTGGTGGGGGTGCCCCATGGGAATGACACCCGGAGTACACGATGGACTTGTGCAGCCGGGGCTCCCTGGCCTGTGTCTCTCTGCCCCATTGCGGGTCTTTGCCCCATAAATTATTTTGGCAATGGTCACAATGTGTTATTTGTAGCACTGATGCTCCAAGGAGCTTGGGGTGACCTGGCCCCGTTAAGGTGCCGCCCCATCCCTATGCCAGCACCCCATTCCCTCTCGCCCCCCCAGCATCCCCACCTCTTAGCCCTG